GACAGCTTTCTTGTCACAAATGATCTTTAGCTGCTTTATTTTGTGCTGGTAACCAAATACACAGAATAAAGGACAAAAATAAAATATTTCGAGTCTAAAAACATAGCACTATAAGTGTAGCAAGAGATGTTTTTGTTATCTGTAAACATGAAAGCTTTGGATTCTTGCAAAGGATCGCATCAATGAAGTTACAACCTGGTTACTGCACAATATGAATACAGCCAGTGTACCAGATTTTCTGTGGTGGCTTAACCTCAACAAGGTCCACTTTAATCGCTAGGACTTGCAATAAATGAAAACCGAACGTATTGCATAAGGAAATTACAAGGAAAAATATTTGATACTGTACTGAACGAAAAGTGTAACATTCAAGCCACAAGTTGAAATAGTGCTTTACGATCAACCTTTCCTTATCAAGTGCTAAACTTGAATGCTAATTTTTACTTGTAGTCTCTATGGAAACCCTGGAAAAAAGACTTCATAGAAATTCTATTGGACTGCAATCACCCCACGAATTTCCATGAAGTGATGGCCAAAAGAATATAAACCCTGACACTTTATGCTGTAATTTAAACACCAAAAACTCAGCGAAACTTATGACTAAGCTCGAATGGCTCATTAATTTTTGTTAGGAAACCTAAAGCCGGACCAGGTATTTAAAAATAAAGTGTTAAGACTTATGTTGTCTTCAAATCGAGACAAAATCTTTCGGTACTAAGTAGACTTCGAAAAGAAATGTACCTATTGAGGACAGGCGTCATTCTAGTACTTAGGGGACTAACCCTAAACAACCGTGCTTTATATATTCCAACAGTCATTTGCTTATTCCAATATGGGAATGCAAATAGTTATCTGCCAACACCACTAACTGCCAGAGAAAAGATTATTCGAAGTCGAGTAACGAAAGATTTCTTGGGTGCAAGTCCTATTTAGATGGATACAATTGGCTCGCATGATCAACCCTTAATTCGATCCATGTAAAGCGACTGTTTAAGTGAAACAAATTAAGTATAAGAAGTGTTTTTCTGCTGTTGCTGTTCCCCTTAGAAATCTACCTATTTCGGGGTTTTTCTCAAACTTCAGAGAATTTCCCTAGATCTGAGGGAACTTTGGGGTTTTTACCATTCCCTCGAAATTTCCTATTGCGGCTTCTCCAAATTCTCCCCAAAATTGGGAGATTGGGTGACAGTGGTCGATTTACTCGTTGAAATTCTAATGTTAACGCCATTATTATTTCGCAAGACCTGGATCGAACAGACACCATACCTAACAGTTAATTAATTAGTTAACAATATAGTTGCATCGATAAAACGTGGAATTTGGTAATTAATAGGAACTTATATGTTGACTCACCCCTGCACAACATGCGATTCTGAGTACATAAAAAGGCCAGAGAGTGGTAGCAAGATCACTACGAACTGATCGGCCGTAAAAAGAGGATTGAAGCGAACAACTAGCCCATAAGACAACGTGTCAGGAAGTAGTGCTTAAACCAACAATAGAGGAGCCGTTTGGTTCGAAACTTCGCGACCGCCAATTAAAGGATAACAAGCAAATTAAACCACAAACATTTCAGCGAGCAGCATGATATTTAGTATATGAGTCTGTGTAGTGGAAAAGCGATCTCAGTAATAATCCCGTTATATTCAGATTCTAACCTTCAGGTACCGAGGACAGAAGGCCTACGGCCTGTGTTATTCCTCTTCTAGTTTGTTTCTGTGAATGTTTAGTCTTCTGTTGAATGAGGCAACTGAAGTCGAAGACACCACCGTTTTGTGTGACTGGTTCTAAGAATTGACGAATCGATGTGGGAACCTGTATGTTACGAATATTTTGTTCGTTCTTCGATTTTCTACTCACCTGCTATATCCCTTGAGATGTCCCGATCTAGTGTGCAGAAAAAAAGAGGATATATCGAGTCCAAAATCATTTGTTAATACTCTATACATGAAAACCAGAACAACTCTTAATCTGCGGTAGGAAAATGTTAAGAGATCTAGCTTTTCACGCCGCTCTTTGTATTTGCAAACCTCGGAGGTCTGGAATTGCAGGATATATTTTTGCCAGGATATAGGAGTCACCTTTTAAACAGGGCTTACAGCCTGAACGCGGTTTCCAAGTTTAATTCTCACTAAGGTTGTGTATACTGTAGTTAGCATGGTAGTAACTAACTCGGTGACTGTCCGCCTTAAAGCCCAAATGTTATAAATCCCTCAGACACGACAGTTGGCCGTGGTCTTAAGATCATGGCATATTATCACCCCCAATATTTTCGTGAGACCGAACCACGGATGCAGGCATTTCCCGTATGCTGTTCATATTTACCTTTGTATCCCCGAAGTGCATGCAGACACACTTTGCCGCGTCGATAGGCATCAGCCACTCTTTAGACCAGCTAAGCACAATATTTAAGTCTGGCTGAAATGCGCATGCGTCCGCGTATAAAAGATAAAGAACCTAGGACAGAACCTCGAGGCACTCCACTAAGTACTGGTTTCCATGTGGAGCACTCAAAATTTATTCTCACTCCTCACGACCGCCTGCCAGTCATAAACAAACGAGTTGGTAGAACGTTTTCACCGACAACTTAAAACTTCACTATCAGCTGCAAACGTTTCACAGTGGGCCGGCGCTCCCTCACTCGCCCTACTAGTTATTCGAAATGCAGTGAAAGCTGACATTGGATACACTGCAGCTTAGCTTGTTTATAGGACGACACTCAGACTTATACGATAATTCGTGGATCTTTTATCTTCTTCATTGAATGTGGACCTAATCTCCTACACGAGCAGGCTTACAAACGCGGTGCGTTCAGTTAAAATGTTTCCACTCGGCTGCAGTCAACTGATGTTTTCGCTCAACCTGACTTACGACATAATATGCAAGTCTTCCTACGTCGTGACTCACATCGATGACCTCTCGAATCAGCGATAATTACATACTTTCATTTTAGTAAAGCTACCTGCAATGTCTCACATAACCTCGTAAAATATTTCTCAATTGACACACGAGATCCCCTTTTATCCTGGATTTTTAACAGATCCTAGCCAAACCGTTCTATGCCTATGTAGGTATTCGGTAGAGTTATAGAAGGAAGTGTGGTTGGTTCATTACTTTTCACGTTTTCTTCAATGAAATGCGCCCACTCTTTCGATACGTTAGACCTTCTTTTTTGATGTTGACCTAAAAGTGGTTTATTCATTCTCACCTCGTACCAAAGAAGATAAGATTCATCAAGGTTGGTTTGGAGTATTTCAACAATGAGGATAATAATCCAACCTGTCAACGTCTGAAGCTAGAATTTCTTCGGATCATGAGCTTAAATCAAACCTTGAATACATTTACCGGTTTCTAAATAATGCATCGTGATCTTCACGATCCATCCTTTCGTAATCTGGCATATCATACCACAATATACACAAAAATGAACATTTCATTGATTCTGAGAACCTATAGAGACTAACACCAGAGTATGCTCGATATACAAACATATGGATCAAACACCCAGCAAGCCTCCCTTGCGGCAGTCTGGTTCAAGTCTCCCTGATAAGTTACTTTCCTAAATTGATTTGTGTCACCTATTCAGTGCCAGTGTAATTACAAATGATCGGAGAAACAGGGTCCGGTATTTATATCATTAACTGCAAAGAGAAAATAGAACCTATGACATTTGTGCGTTTGTTTAATTTTTTCATGTTAATATCCGAAGTCAAATCTCATTACATAACTGATTTATTATTTAAATCTCTCTGATACGTATATTAACATTTATTCCTATTATGTTTCACAGACATCCTTACTGAAGTATCGACAGATTTCAATATTTTCCTTCCTCCTTCTCTAGAGTTAACACGGTGTGCCACAAAATACAATGTAACGTGCTCCGGATAGAGAATATGTTGAGAAAAGTATTGAAGCATATATATAATTGTATTTCTGAGGAATGCAGAAATAATTACACCAAAGAATTTTGATGCCAAATGTATTTGGAGTTTGACAACACCCTAACCAGTGACGCTTCCATGATTGAAGTATGCCAATCAAGTCAAATCAGAAGACAAAAATGAAGGAGTTCGAAAATGTATTTGGAAGGCCATCGGTACGTAGGGTAGTGATGAACCGAAGACATGGCCAATCAGAAGCTTGAATCCAAAGGGTTTGACGTTGGTAAACACTCTTCTGACAGCTTACTATGTTCAGTAGTGTTTGGTCGCCTTTCCTTACTGTAAGGAGTCAAATGATACAATATAGTAGTGAAAATAAAGTACAATGAAGATATTGGTCCAGGTTTAACTGAACACATTGCATTTGTAAGCCTGCTTGTGTAGCAGTTTAGATCAATATTCATTGAAAAAGATGAAGAGTTCACAAATTCTCCTGACGGTCGAAGTATCGTTCCGCGAACGATTTGAGCTTCAATGTATTCAACGCCAGCCTTCAATGCATTGCGAATACCGAGTAACATGAGTGGAAGTGCGTGAGAACAATGTGACGCTTTTGCCGTTCAGAGTGAGGCTTTCAACTGCCAGCGAAAACGTTCTACCGGCCCGTTAGCTTGTGGGTGGAAGGCGGTTGCTCGGAATCGTATGGTTCTCGGGAGTGTGGTGATACAACGAGAAAGTCCACATTCGAACTGACATTCACGGTCTGAAGTGATACTTGGAGGACAGACAGGGTTTCCTGCCCACCGTTCTACGAAGGCGTGTGCCACTGTTTCAGCAGTAATGTCCTTGATTGGTACTGCATCTGTCCTTTGTGTAAAACGGTACACGTAAGGAAGTGAAAGTGTTCATTCTGGTCCAATAAAAGTTCTACCGAATGCAGATGAACATGGTCGATATGAGCGTCGTGAGTTTTGTAAGATCCCAACGGAAACGTTGTATCTCACCATAGTCAACCAAGCCCTCTAAACACTTAGACACAGACCCTAAAAAACAGACAGCTCACTACTTTCCACAATCAATGTTTATGCTTTGAAGTTTGTTTCTATTAGCTACTGACACAGGTCGGTTGCTCTGACCTAGTGGATCCAAGCCGCCTATTTCGTTTCTGGTCATGACCATGGTAAAGTCGGCCGTAAAGAAGGGACGAAAAAGATTGACTCACCAAGAGGATCCGAAAATTAGGGATGGAGTTAGTAAACTTAGAGGTTTGTTGCTATAAAAGTCTCAATGTTCTTAGAGAAATTAACAAGCAGACAAAAACAAAGGCTTAAGAAGCGTTTTCTGCAATCTGACGAACTTCTTGAAAATACGACGCCTCATAAGGTACTTTTGTTGATGACCTTCTCTTTATTAGGTTTACGAGTCATCTGACAGTGTGCCTGCGACTCAAAGTGGATTTTTTGAGAATGACGGTGACGAAGTTATGGTTGATGATTTCGGACGTTTATCGGATTTGGAAGAAGACATTGAGACAAACGCGGATTCTTTAGAACCTGTAAATGAAAAAGAGGATATGATAACAAACCTCGCTTCCGAAGATGCGTTTGGAAAGCCTGCAATGGATTCCAGTACATTAGACCAACGCATTCGGAACTGGCTTTATATTCTCTCCGATTTCAAAAACAGAGCACCTGCAGACCTCAATAGGAGTTTGTGTGTTCGGACTCTGATAAGCGACTTATGTTCTCGCTATTCGTACAACCAGTTCCTTATGGTGAAACTTCTTGATTTGTTTCCCAAAGAGGTAATAAATATTGGAACTCAAATTCAGTCGCAGATTGTTGAGGTTTTAGAAGCTAATGAAGTCGACAGGCCAGTGACCATTCGCACAAACACCTTAAAGACACGTCGCAGGGAATTGGCTCAAGCAAGTCCTCTTTGTTTATATAATTATATAGGCTTTAATAAATCGCGGTGTAAACCTTGATCCTTTGGAACCGTGGAGCAAAGTTGGACTTGTTGTTTATTCATCACAAGTACCATTAGGCGCAACACCAGAATATCTTGCCGGCCATTATATACTTCAGGGAGCTAGTTCTATGCTCCCTATAATTGCCTTGTCTCCTCAGTTAGGCGAGCGTATCTTGGATTTGTGTGCTGCGCCTGGTGGGAAAACAACTTACATTGGCAAGTTTTCAATTTAATTTGATATACTAATTAGTCGAAGTTTTGGAATTATTGGTGTATTTTCAGTACTATTATTTACCGTGTTTTTATTAACTTGTGTTATTTGAGATGGTTATCTGAATCCATTACAGGGAATTGGTTTTTGCTGTTTCGGGTATGTCCAATTCTCGAGATAGCATTATATCACTCAGGTTTCGGAAAATATTGGATTTATTTACCGGGTTTCTGATCTTTAAACCCCGTGGTACTAAACTTAGTCCCATCACACGCGAGTGATACTTCCCATATACTAATGATTCTACATAGCTTACTTATTCATATCTGTAAGATAGGTACGAATCTTTACTCTTATCCGTGTCAACCTCAACTTTACCAGGAGGAATCGGCGAACTATTTGTCCCTTGGGATCTGCGTCTGGGCAGTTAGAGTGAGGTCTTACTTTCGGAGGGCTATGATTTTTTAATATTCCTCCTAAAAACTGACGGAAGTGACAATTTAGTTGATAATAGATGTGCTCGATGGGTAACACTCAAAGTATTCCCCCTTACTACTTACAGAATTAGAGTAGCCGTTGAGTCTTGAAAGATTCAACCGAAGAGTAGTGAGTTCCGCAGCTTATTGATTAGGGCTGAGGAAAAGTGTGCACGAGTCTAATATAAACATCTTTAGGTTATTTTGTTGTGAAACAGTTAATTGCTTATATTTTAACTGAAGAATTGTAAATGTTTGGTCACTCGACAGTTTTGTGTATACTCTTTTCTATTACTCAGAAGCAAGAACAACGATTTAAGCAACATATAAGTTTGTCATTCTTATAAGCTATCCGTAATCCTCAGCATTCTGACGTCAAAATAATAAAGTTCAGCATACTTGTGAGAATTGGTTTCTGTGCTCACCGTTGATGACTATTGCATAGATATTTTGTCAGTCTGCATTAAAGATCTCACTAATTCTGAGTTCGTGCGAGCTCGCAGTTCAACAAATTAATTTGTGCTCCATATCAAAACACCACAGGTTTTATGCAACAGCTTCTTAACGTGCCATTTCTCTAAACATTTAAGTATGCAACCTCGTGATCTCCTGATTGCTGTTGTAAATGATCGTCACCTATAAAACCAGCTTATAAAAATTACTTTTTGCACTTTTCGGATAACCAAGGACTACTCTTCGTATGCTGTGTCAGAACTAACCCGAAGTACTTTGTTACTACTGACTTTTCATTTCAGCTACTCTAAATTTTCTTTAGGAATTTCATTATCCTGTGCTGGTATAATGTGTCAAACCCAACTGATGCACTTAGGTGCTAGGTTTTACATTGCCTGGAACTGACTGGTACGTATACAATTTAAGCTAATCATCAGTGTACACACATTAATTTAGTAGCAGTATATTATTTAAACGAATTTTTGGTAAATGGACTCGAGTAGTGAAGTAAGATCATTGAACAAGCTGGAGTTCATTATTTTGATACTTAACTGCTATGGATGATAACAAAAACTTATTGAAACCAAGTTTTTCCATGTTGTCTTACCTAAGTTGTAATAATTATTTTAGTTATCATCCAGAAGTTTATTTCTGTGCTATGTTATGCCCTTATTTAATTCTACTTTTTTATGTACAGCACAACTCATGAAAAATACTGGCACCATTTTTGCAAATGAAATAAACCCCAATAGAGCCAAAGCGTTGCTTGGAAATTGTCATCGTATGGGTGTGACAAATACTGTCATCTGCACAGAAAATGGGCGGAAATTTCCAAATATTATGTCCAACTTCGATCGAGTCCTCGTAGACGCACCGTGTTCTGGAACTGGTATAATTGCCAAAGATCCTTCTGTGAAAACCACCAAGAATAATGACGAAATTCGGAAGTGTGTAGAATTGCAGAAAAGGTTACTTGTAGCTGCTATTGATTCCTGCAAAGTTGGGGGTTACGTAGTCTACTCCACATGCTCCATATTGGTAAGTAACCTGTGACTACTAGTAAGAATATTTATTGACAAGGTTCTGTAGAGAGTAGACAAAGTCTCTTATTGTTCGATATTATGAATATATGGGAGAATAACATAATGACTAATTTTATGGATCGTCACACAAAACGCGAGTTAGAAACAAAAAAGTTGAAGCAGCAAGTCACTTTTTGGAATTTTTAATCCTCATTTAGTCTGCGCACAAATTTTTTAGTATTGAGTACGGAAATTGAAACATTGGTAACCAAACAAAACAAGTGTTATTAGTTTGTATGTAATAAATATGACAGTTTAGTAAAAGAAAAACATGGCCTCATTTCGATAACCTGCCTCTTAATAGGGATGCATGCTTCACTCCCGTGTTAACCAGGCTGGTAATCACTAGATTATTCACTTTTTTACTTGAACAAACGTCCTATCTAACCGAGACTTGATTTCCTTTATCAAAAGCTAATTGGAAAAAACGGCTGATCAAGATATATTTCAATACGTCAAATTAGAGCGTTGAAGATTGGGCTTATTGGTGATCCCCGCTGAAATACAAGTAGACCAGCTTAAAGCTTTTTTTCCGAGGTAAAAAGAAACGTTAAATAAAATATAGCACAAATGTAAATGCTATCCGTTCGAGCTATTGAAAAGACGTGTAAAGGGAACAAATAAAAATATTGGTAGTTAGTGATTATATCCGCCGTGCCTTTATTCGAGTATAAATTAAACTAGCGCACTCAGTCTCAAAGGTATGGGTATTTTTCGCCACATTCAATGTTTTTACTGCTTTCGAGTGACAGTCATACTTAAAACACAAACACACGACAGCGTGAGTTATTGCGATATAAAAAATATGGATAAAAAACCGGTCAAGATGATAGTGAGAAAAACCAAACTTTGCATAATTCAGTTCGAAAGCAGACAAATTTGAAGAACAAAGATTCGGAAACAATAGTTAGGGCGCTGACTGTAATTGGACATTTTGTACCTATCAACATGGCTTAATCTGATAGTGAACTGATATATTGATTTGAAAACTCCTAGTTTCTCTAATATCTTACCTACTCCAGGAAACGTGCTTCGACGATGTCGGTTGGACATGAATAACATTGTCCCGGTCACTCCAGTCAGAGATTTAGTCTCGTATAGTGCTCATTCCAAAGGTCATTGAATGAAGCACTTCGCAAGTTACTCCAGCCCATCTACTAAGTCACTGTTCGACAATAACATACAAGTAGACATTCAAAGTACGAAATATTTTCGTACATAAACTTCATGTTTAAATATAATTATGTTTCCTGTTTTACATTAAAAGTATTGACATTATTATCTTTTTGTTTCAATTTAACAAGGTAGAAGAGAATGAGAATGTTGTAAACTTTGCATTAAGACGAAGAAAGGTACGTCTAGAGGAAACGAAACTGTTTGGGGAGAAGGGTTTCACTGCGTAGGTGAGTGTTCTCTAAAGTATAATTATCTACACAGATTCAAAGGCTATCAGTTCCATCCACATATGGCACGCGTTCGACGTTTTTATCCACACAAGCACAATGTCGATGGATTTTTCGTGGCGAAAATGAAGAAATTAGCGGCGGCTACTAAGGAGAAAAAAGTTTCTTAAGACCGGATATATCTAGATGAAGCACCAGGACTACCAAGCCTTCATCCTTGTTTGTGAATAAACAACTTAACCTAACTTCAGCCCTTACTTCTTCATAACTCAGCGCACGACGGATCTCAGGCGTCTTATTTAGTGTGTGCAGATTCCTGGCCGTAACAATATGGTTCTAAGATAGTTAACGATGTCAGAAACCCAGATGGCTGGCCTTCTGTACCTCTTGCTAATATACCAGACCACAAGGGCTGATGAGACTTCCAAGATAATAACCCCATGCGGGAGTTCCGTGTCATTTGCACTTCCTTCTAAGTCTTTTATCTCGCTTATCATACCATACAATATCTCACCGTAAATAATCTGTCACACGTTACACAATACTTAGATAATAGGAATTGAAGAAGGAGGTTGATTATGAATACAGTGGGCTTGAGTGCTGTGAGAGGTATGAGGGCATTTATCACTTCCCCGTTGCCCACATCGTGGAAGGGTCCTTCTAAAAGTACCTGAGAAGGAAATTGGGTTAGGGGTCGTCTGAACGATCCGAAAGCTTGACGACAGTGCTCAAGAAACAACTGCTTGAGGTTGATCACAGACGACCCTTTTGTTAGTAATTTTGGTGTTAGCTTCGTACTTGTTGAGACCCTAGCGTCGGAGACGGATATCCGTGGGCTAAGGCAAAGTGCATTCTTCGGGTAGATGTTTTCTAACCCCACAGTTCTTTTGTGGGATGGCGGTACCGCTGTTATACTTCGCCCATGGGTTTGCTGTTTTCAGTCTTACCGCTCTTCAACCGACCTGTCTGGCATGGTAGGACCTTGAGGAACTATTGTTCCAGCCACTATAGCTCGACTGGTTCATCACGATAGGCAAGCCCGACCACCACGTCAAAGTAGCAGCAACGGTCGTGATATCAGATGCATAAATGCTACGAATCTTTTAATACCTATGATGGATACAGTCGTGTGTAGATGGACACAAAGCTTATAATCTTACAAACTACTGAGTTTGAGGTTTATCACAGCTGTATAACTAGAGGCGAAAAAGCTGAGGCCTAGAGTCGTTTATAAATACATCATACGAGCTTGTCACAATTTCGGTATTTTTAAGTGGCAAATGTATTGGAAAGAAAACTAGAGATTATCAGCAAAATATAGACATCGATGAGCACTAATCAGCGTGGAATTTAATTACAGTCAAGGTTGAATATATTATAAATCCAGGAAATAAATTAATTGAAATTTATTCGGTCAAATGTAGTTACGATTGACTGCGCTTCCGAAAGTCTTCGAAAAAAGCTTTTACTTCTGATTCTGTTACAATCTGAAAGACAGAAAAAGGATATGAGTAAGAGATTGTAAAAATAGAAGTCAATGGTTATTTCATAGTAGAAAATATAACAAGCTAATTGCCTACATCTAGGTCGACAAGTTTTCATTTGACACAAAATATGGGACAAGTATCGGGCTTAAACATCTAACAACAAAATGTTTCGTAGGGATAACAAACGTTTTTTGAGACATACTGAGACAGCACTGAACTTTCTATCACGTCATGGTATGATATGTCACAAATAACTACGACGACAAAGGCTAGCATAGATCTCGTCACAATTTATACAACTTGATGTACAAAGAACTAAACAGATAAGTGAGCTACTTACGTGATTTTTATCTCTCTTCTTGGTGAAAAATTCTTCCAGAGCTTCTTTCAGTCGTACAAATCCTACATTAAAAGTATACTTTATTAGTTTTGGAAAATATGCTAATGACAGTCAGTGTATTCAATTAGAGCTTGTTAGGTCTATTTAAGTGGGATTGATACCATTTATCGCTTTAGGTACAATAATCTGATTGTTGACATCACTTAACCTAGGTTTTCTGGGTATGGATGTTTACATCACACAGTAGATATCTTATAATTGGCTCCTAGAGACCTATTTCCGGATAGATAGCTATATTTACCTAGAATGTTGTAACGTACGAACAGGATCTGAAGATGTTATTATACTCTTATGCTTTATTGGTAGTTTACTATTTATTTGGGAGCAATAGTGTATCGTCTAGCGCTGCTATATAAACCTAGACACTAAGTAATGGATAGTTTTTTTATTCAAACATTTCTACTGTATACACTGAATATCCGCAGACTTATGGTAACAAAGTTGATGTGATTCAATAATCTAACCATAATTTATACCTAAATGAAATAACTCATAAGAAAATACACTTTGAATCTAGTGATACACGTCTACTACAAAAGCCGCGAGATATTTTTACAGGTCCTTGCTTAGTAAATACTAACACAACACTTTTTGTTCACTCAGTATTATAACGAACATTCCGTAAGATATTACCTTGTACAATAAAGACCATGTAAGTCAATAACTGTGACAAACTCGTCCTAACTCTGCTTGATTCTAGCGTAAACCGTGTTTCTCTTGACAAATGTATGTTGTTCTCGTTTTAGGACACTTATTAAAATCTTTATGATGTATAGACACATGAAAACGTGAGAAAAACATGTTGATGCACAGGAGCCAGAAAACATTGTAGATACCTCCCTTGTTTTTAGTGATCCGATTTTGTCATCACAAATTTTGCGAGCAAGTACGCAGGGAGTATTGTTTATTGGGAGCTTATAAACTCTCATGTATGCTTGATTTGTTTTTTATCTGTTCAACGTATGTCAGAGGTTTACTGATGTGGCGTTTTAGATTAACATCATAATGGCAAGCATGAAGTAACCCGTATTGAATTCAACAATTATTTACGAGGAATATGAACGAAATAATCAGCGTATATCTATAAGGTGTTCTTATTATTTCTACTTATAAGTTCATAATTATATATCATGTGATAAATCCGCATTATGACAGTTACCCGTTGCAAAATTTACTGCTGCAGGATGCGGCAACTCTGCAAGAGCCTCATTTAATGTGCGTTTCTCTTCTTCGTTAATTGATTTAGTCCTCTGTTTTCCCAGTTGCATGTAGTGGGATACTGAGTCTTCAGGATCCAATAGAAATTCGACATTAAGGTGCTTGTACATTTCCTAATCCAAAAAATTGTAAAATTAAGTGCTTGGTAATTAAAGCATGTCAACATGAATCAAAATCTTGACTTTACTGAGTCCAGAAAAGCAACAGAGTATAACAAGCTACACATACGTTGCTGACAAAATTATTGGGCTTTAGAAAACATTGAAATGCATAATATAATTCGAATATAATTTGTCTTATTCAGTTTTCCACACACATTCGTTCTACTCGACTTCAAAGTAATTGTCTTCGGACATTACATGAATCAAACTTGTGTCCAATTATAACCAATGGAATTTTTTGACCATAGAGTGCCCCCATCATTTTTAGAGCGCAGTAATAAGAAAACTTTATTACAATAAAGATGCGAATAATCAGTTTCTTGATTTTAGTGGTGTATAAGATGAACATCACTGATGATGAGATACTGGGACATATACATGGTACTTTTCCACATTTCTGGACCGATATGTGTATCATTATCGTGAAAGAAAACTTCGTAGAGAAGAGAAAAATTATGATGGACAACAATTTACCTGTATTAAAAAAAGCCATCGTATGTCTTTGGATTTACTGCAATTCTTTATCTTTGCTACCTAGATTTTGACGAGAGTTTTTAAGTGTTATGGTGCAGACCTATTATCTGAAAAGTCCAGAGATATTAGTTATATCGTTCACCTTGCAATGGGAAACGTTATGGAACTGTACTTATTTAACTGCCCATCACTCGTATATATGGTCTTAGTTGCACCACTCAAATTCAGAGTAGACCTAAAATCTGAATTTGACCTACTTTATAACAGCGAATATCTAAGGACTGTTAGTAAGTGAATCGTAACCCACATAAAAGTTAGCACAAATGTACATCATAAGCTGCGATATTTTGTGTGAGCAAAATCAGGAAATTAGAAAAATAGGAAAAAATTGAACCAGGGACACTAGGAAACTGAGTTTACAACAAAAAATAAAGTAATATGGAGGAAACATATGTCTGCGCTGATACTTGTTTTTAGCCCCGTCATCTGGAACCTTTAACCACACGTAACTAGTGCCTCTTGGGTGACAAGCAGGATGGCTTTACCTTCTGGCACGCATTTGTTCGGTGGCCAATGTACTCATGGACTATAATCAATTCATTACCTCACGGCAAAAAATACCTAACCATACGCAACATGACCCAGTCATCTCATTTGATGACCTGTTGTTTTTTGATGGGCTTCCAATAGAAAAACGAAAATAATTATCTTTACATAGTCTATTTACTTATTACATTAGTTTTTCTTTTACGAAACGTGAGACATGATACTCCATTTCTTCGAAAATACGGCAAGAAGCCTTGTGGAACTTTTTCATCATGTACTACCAAATAGTTTAAATGTGCGATAAACTTGACCTTAAGGAAGAGCTGTCCATAAATCTGCACTGAATTGTTACCTGCAAGCCATTCTCGCATTTCCCGTAGAAAACCAAGTAGCCGGCTAAACTTGGACTTACCACAGCACCGCACTCCCTAGGAATGGCTCCTCATATTTCGCTAAAATACTGGAAATACAATGGTAGCGTGGTCGTTGAACTAATTTCGTTAACTAGAACCATTCTCAAATATAGAATATATCGAGCTCAGCGTAGTTTACGATGAGCATATACGCTAGACACTAACTATGCCTATTATTTGACAGTGGGAACAAATATATTGGTGAATACGTTACAATCATATTAAAGAAGCCACTTTATATATAACTACTCATTATTCACCATACGTCAAATACTCGTTAATGCTGTGGACATACACAATTGTGCAGATCGCGTCACTACCACTGAAAATTTTCAAGTTTTTAGAAACAGTAGTGTAGGCATTTCAACTAACATAACTTTGATACAAATTACCTTGCAGTTTTCGCATCGACAAAGGAAGCTTCTCCAATCAGAGATCCAAAACACTGATGGCACTAGATTGGGGTCGAGGTTGTCCAAGTTGTCAAGAGACGAACAGCAGAACTCAGGCACGTGTTGTTTCATCTTGCTAGCCCACATGGACAAACGACAATAAGAATTGTCTTCCGGATGAGTCGTACCTTCAATTACGGTTTTTCTCAACCTTTTAGAATCTGGAGTATAAATAAACTCAGTCAAGCTGTTACTCTTTGTAAAAGATTTCCGGAACGTCTCCTCAGTGTTATATGCATACATGAATAGAAACGCGTACTTTTTAATGC